AAAATTCAAAAAAATTGTAGAGAAATGAAACCTTGCGTGAAGAAGCCGAGGGAGAAGTCATTGCTTTAAGAATTCCTAGAGAGAGTGTATGATGGGAAACGGTGATATCGAGTTTTGGGGTTACTTTATGCAATTTGATTGGAGTATTATTAGAGGAAAATTGCACACTGGTCCACAACCTCTTCTTCTAGTAGAAATGTTGTCCCTAATCTTTATAATAAAATATGTTAGTACTTAGTCATTAAACGTGTTGTTTTAATTGTACAACCAATCTCTAGCGACGGAAATTGTCCAAATTTTATTACGTCATCATATTATTCTTGTCTGTCTAATCTTATCAAACTAAGTTACACCAATAGTCGAGGCATTGACTTAGCAAAGGTGAATGGTCAAGGTGCTGAGATCGCCTTATACATTAGTCAAAATACTAATTATTTGCAAGTCGAATCAATGAGATGATGGCCATAATAGATCAGTGTGAACGATGGGAGACTTCTGCCTTTCTTTAGTTACCTTGGCTACTATATCCTTTCGCAGCTACAATTGGTAATTGACCATTTTTTTAATAATATTTTGTGTAATGGCTCATCAAAGTGCCAATCGAGGTTGTGTAAAATAAAAAGAAAATTAATAAAAAGCAATTTTTTACGAAGCAACAATTTCTAAGCGATTGTAGCTTTTCGATTTTTACATATAATAGGACTAGTACCTACATTTTCTAGTTCAGTCAACTGGTTCAGTTCCGTATTGATAATACTGAGTTTACTTCACAACTCAGATATAGGCCTAGAAATTCGGGAGGTCATGTGACACGTTAATAAATGTTTAGATGTATTTTATGATTTGGGATTGATCATGTAACAATAATGAAAGAATAAATACTAATTTGCACTTTACTAAAGAATAAAATCAACTTGTTCCTCAAGTAAATAGTCTAGACACTTAGTTGTATAAATTTATCTATTTATAGGACAAAAAGAAGGCATCTTTTATTTGATCTCTTTTATATCTCCAAACTTTTATTTTGGCAGAAAAAAAGTTGCTTTGCTTTTATTTTGGTAGTATCAAGACATTTCGGCTTAACAATCCAAAAGTAGGATGAGCTCAAATGTAATTTAGCTCTTGTTTGCCTCTTATTTATTAGTTGTCAAATTATTTTATCTACAAATAGGTAATAAATTCTAGAATTGGTCGTTTGTGATTCGGTTCTCGATTCTAATATCAAGAACCATAGACCTGAATTCACTTGAAAGTTTACTTGTTTGATGGAATTAAAATCAGATTTTTAGTAAATTTTAATAAAAATTGATGAAATGTATAATTGAAAAGTTGTGGATCTCATGAAATCTGTAGTTGAAGTTAATAATTAACTTTGACTTTAATTAAAATTTTCACCAAACAAGGGTATAATTTTTATTTTAAGTAATAGACCAATCATTTATCTTTTCTTTAGAATTTCACTTTGGTACGTCAACTTATTTTCAAATCATTATGGTGTTATTATTAAGACAAATGTAGGCATAGTCTTATAGGGATAGCAATGGTTGAGGCAGCCCCATATCCCCTATTTGCTTATAATTTTCAGGAGGCAAGGACTTGGCGAAACAGAATGGGGATAAAAAAATCCTTATATTTTGAAACATTAATTATTTTTTATTTTATAAATATCATTTAAATTTAAAAATATAAAAAAATAAATAATTGTGGCAAAGTTCTGGATGGATACCGTGTTCCGTTCCCATCTTGATTCCTCGATTAGCTGAGTGTGGTCAAGATATTTTGCCATCCTTACATGAATTGATGACTGACTTGTTCATAGAGACATAGTTTTAGGGATGCCAATTGAGCGTAAGCAAAGACAAGATGTGGGATGAGCTAAACTAGATTGCCATGTGAGCCAACTCGTAACTCGGCTTGCAAGCCATGATGCTATGCCTACATCATCAATCCAATTGAAGCAGCTTAAAAACCTCCTGAATTCAAACTTTTTATTTATTTATTTATTTCTATAAATAAGGATGATTGTAAACCAAATTCATCACATTTTCACAATTCTCTACAATCTCTGTAAAATATCACTATTTCTCTCTAGCAATATAGTTCTATAATTTTTTATACAGTTGTTCCTTCATTTCCAATTATTTCTTATTTTACTATTTAATGTTTTTCTCCTATATCTGTTTATGAAATTCGTAATGGATTCCTCTGAATTTATAAACCCAGATGATGATCGTCACCAATTCCTCGATAGTTTCAATACTCCCATAAATTGTTGAAACTTTATGAAACTTTTAAACCAGAAAACCTAAATTACTTTATTACCAAAATCCTTCATATCAAATCACCAAGAAAACTAATTAATGTGAAACATACCTTAGTTCATTAGGAATAATTCCTTATTAGTGGATCTTGATCTGGACCTTGAATCTTCAATCCTTTTATGTTTGGCTTCTTTACTTTTAATCTTGAATTTTTCCTCATTTAATTTTTCAATTCTTATTCTTGATTTTGCTTCATGATCCATAGTATTGATTCTTGAATTCATTCTTCTTGATTTTTGATTGTGGGTATTGAATCTTTCTCTTCAATATGCTTTCTCTTAAATATTGTTGTGTTGATGGGAGCCACAAAGAATGAAAAATCGCATATGAATTGGGAGACTATACCCCTATTCATATTTCCATACGTACTTTCGTCCATCAAGGAAACTCAAAGTTAATGGATCCGATCTCTACACATATTATACAGCACACACTTTATTTAAATGCCCTAAGTCCAATA